GTCAGATTATAACTGTTTCAAAATTTACTGCTAGTACTAAAAATCTATAGTACACATGACGTAAAGTATAGATTTTCAGTACCGGCAGTAAATTTCAAAACACAGTCTATGTCAATGGGTTCTAATAACAGAAAAAGTTAAATGCAAACAATTAATACAATCTGTTTATAAAGTTAAATGCAAATTCTACTTGGTGATTGCAGTTAATCTATTATCATATTTTGTTGACATTTTTTATATTTTTGCTAATGTGTTCTACTGACGATATCTATAGCAGATACTTTGCAAATCTATTTTCTATATATTTGTTATATTGTTATAGAATTATATTGATTTCATTTAAATTTGTTATATTTTTGTATAAAAATACAGAGCTAAATATTCTGATCATAATAGATTTAGTTTGATTTATCCTTTCAGGTGAACACGAAGTTATATTTGCACCAAAACCAAGTCTTGCAAATGACTTGGTTAAAACATACCTACAGCAGTCCAAAGCAAATATTAATTGCGATATATTGAGTCGTCATAGAAATTACGTACAAATGGAAAAAGCTGCAAATGTTGCATTGGCGTAATATTTTTTAATTAAATTTCTCTTGGTACAGTCTATGAGATGGGCGACATAAAAATTTTAATATTTTTTGTATCTTTGCTCATGTATATTTGCAATATATCATGAGCAGAAATATTGATACACCAAAATATCGGTTGTATAATTTGCGATATTGCTAATATCAATATGGATTCAAAATATTTATATTTTTAGGCGATACGCGCACCAATTGAAGAATAGATTCTTTTTGCAAAAATAATGGTTTTTTAGACTATTTTATTGATCTCTTTGATGAATAACTATTTTAATCGGAGTTTAAAGAATTCAAAATTTAAATTATATTATACACATCTGGACATGCCTTTGTTATTTTTCTTGTCATATTTAAAATATTAGCACTGTGTCACTCTTAGATAGTCTATCTCTTATAGGCTATCTAGCCTATTAATATTAATGTTATAAATTCTCTGAGTTTATTTTATTCCTCCTTTAGACGAGAGAAAGAATATTTGACTAAAATTAAAGCAGAGCTGTTCGACAAGAAACAATCTTTGGCAAAATGCGCTTCTTCAGCTCCTGTTACCGAATCTATAAAGCAATATTTAACAAATGTCGAAAATACAGACATCGTATCAAGTTAGAATCATATTAATTTTTTAAACTAATTTTTTGTTGGAAATCTTATACATGTGGAATTAATGAATATACATGGGTTTTAGTGTGGAAAAATAGTTTAAACAAAAATATACAATATATACGAAAACGGTACATGATGTTGAGTGATCTGGAAAGAACATGTGAGAAAACAAGTGGCATAATATCGAATCTATTGAACGATTCAAAAGCACTAGACAGCAAGCAGTTAGAAAAAATTAATTGTTCTCTGATATCGGAATTACCGTTTCCACCTGAAGTTCAGGTAAAGCTGAATATTAAATAAGTGATTGCAATTTCTTTTTAATCTTATATTAATAAATTAACAAGCCACGACTTACTTTAAAAATAATATCTATATATATAATAATATATCACAATTTCATTCGTCTGCTTACTTTGATACTATATCAAATATATCAATGTCTGAGGAAGGACGACTTAGTCGACCTGTCCCAATGTCTCTTGCAAGTAGAAGCAAGTACAGAAGATATGAAATCCATGTGCAATGTATTTAAAACCTTCTTGGTCAGCATAACAAGTTCTACAGAAGACGTGCAAAATGATTTGTGTGTGAAAAGTACAGAGCGCATATCTGAGGATAAAAATGTTTTACCCTTTGTAAAAAACGTACTTCTTATGTCTTCGCCTCTTATCAAAATTAATACTAATTGCGCGAATCAAAGAAACGAATTGCAATTTACTCCGACTGAAAGTAAGATCGATATTTAAGAAATAACTATAGATTGTAATTTTTGTGTAAAATAATTATTAGCGTAATCATATTGTTCGTTTTTTACAGTTGCACACAAATCATTATTTTCGAGATATATACGGCACAGTAAAAATTACACACCAGATGTAAAAACGAATTTATACGTATCACGCATCAACATCGACAGTCACACTATGTTAAATAGTAATGAAAAACAAGAATTACGTTTTGTGACACCTAAGATGAACCAGTTACGTAAGAGAACAACCGGAAAGTACTCTCGATTATTTGCTACACACAAAAAGAAAAATATAAAAGGTTTGTAAAAATTCTATTTGATTCGTATAAGAGTGATATTGTTATTGAAATTTTATGTAATTTCTAAAAAAAAGAAGACAAGACAATCAAGAAGTTACTAAAATTAGGTAATGATTATTTTACAATGAAAGAAATGAAATTAATTAAATATCACTAGAACAAACCGCCATTGTTCTTTTTTATTTATATTTATTTTTCACAACCTGAAACATATATTTTTATATTACAATAATAAGAATGACATTATTTCTGCAAAGTAGTATTTATAATTTAATTTTATTATTATATAAAATAATAGCCTTTTTTCAACAACTTCTTGATTGTCGTATGGTGTTTTGTTTACGGTATATATATACATAAAATTAAAATTATATTTATATAGTCAATTCTAGCATGATGTCTCTGCAATCTCTCACACAATCCAATTCTGCTGTTGCAAGTATAGAAGAAATATCCAGTTCATCGGATTTTAATTTAGATACCATAACAAAGAGTTTTATCAGTTGGAGTAAAGAGTCTTCTACAGTTTCTTACTCATCCGCACAATTCGCTCCGATAAAACAAAATGTCTCAAAAGTTGCGTCTCAGCAACAAGCAAAAAATAAACTCGATCACAAGATCAAAGTAAATAAACCAGAATTGGATGAATTTACAGAGGTACAGATTGTAAACGACGATGATAAAAGTACAATTGTAAAACATGAAAATGATTCAAAGAGACGATCCATTAGTGACTTGGTGGAACGTTATAAGAAGATACTGGAAATCAGCAATTCTGTTACAGCAAAGTTAGAAAATACGTATGTAGAACACGAAATTGAATAACGGAAGGGAAAAGGAACAAAACTCAAATTCAATTAGTATTTTCTATTTGTACTTTTCTATTTATAAATTTTTTTGAAACGGAAAATTTATCAATAATTTCTATTATTAAAACAAATAATAGAAAATACTAATAGAGTTTGCTTGATTTATTAGTTATTCATTAAAATCTATGAATAACAAATATAAAATTTAATCTCTAATATACAGTATTTTGTATGAATAATTCAGTATATTTATATGAAAATGTGTGATATGTTTTGTTTCTGTTAAAGATAGCTTGTACACAGTTTAAGAACAAGTTGTCAATAAGAAACAATGTATTAACAAATTCGTTTTCTTCAAGATCTATGACAAATTCTGATACTAAAAACTTAGGTAAAGAAATTAAAGATTTCAACATATTTCTGCGCCATAGTAGTATAATATCCTCAAAAAGAAAAAGAGTAGACATGAGTTGATACTAATATTTTCTATTTTGTGGAACTTACTATATATTTTTTATAACATGTGTATTTATATATTATATAGTTATAGAGATAAAGTCATGAATTATATTATATTATCATGTTACACAAACTAACGTATATTGTTACGAAGTAATTTTTTTATAAAATTTAAAAAAATGATCTGTTTGTACAAATGATATATTTTCGCCTTCTTTATCTGATTTTCCGTATCATTGCAATTTAGATAAGGAGTGACATTTTTATCTTATATATAAATTTAAAAACTTCCCTTATTGTTTATACATTAATTGAACATCTTCTTTCCCTCGAGATTCTCAGTATATTAATTCTAATAAACTAGTTTTATCTTTCAATTATTACACTAACATCCAAAAGATAACATGGTGTTTACTATTTCATCAAATAACACTCTTAAATTTATAATAGTACAACAGTTTATTCACAGATATTATGTTTAGAGTGCTACGTACTGTATTATAACGTATTGCAATAATAAGTAGAAAGAAATGTATACAATTAAAAATTAGTCTTTGCATTCTAAATGTTGCATTAAATGTTACATGTTCTTTACTTATAATTAGATATCTGATATTGATCAATAATGTAAAAAGGCACGATGGCGGCATATATTCTTATCATACATACATTGATGAAAAATGTTTCAAAAAAATTTTTGATCTAATAATGGTTATATATGATAAACTTATACATTGAACGTTATGTAATTGTATTATCCAATTACAAGTCTTTGTTAATTTCTAACTGTGCATTTATAATACTTTAGAAAAAATATTGGTACTTTTGTTCTTTCAATCAACTATATATTTTTATCATTTTTTTATTTTCCATTAGGGTGGTTCTTTAGTAGTAAAGTGCCGAAAATTTGGGGTGCCTTATCAGGGCCCACTCAAAATTACAAATATCTGCATAATTTGGGTAAAATATTAAAACTGTGTGTATATCTTAATGAAATAGTATGGAACATACGATAATATAATAAATCAAGAGATCTCTACATCTTCATCGAACGAAAACAAGATGATTAAGTTTACTTTTCGAGGTTAAATTTATATGCAAGTTTATGCACGTAAATATCTTTCGAGAATGGTCGTATTACTTTTACTTACAGAATTGACTTAATACTTTTTTGTGACCGTTAAAATCGTAATTTTTTAAACTATTATATCTCATTTTTAAGAAAAGTCTGGTAAGATTTGTGTGCAGTTAGTCAAAGAAGTGCGAGCTTTATCAGTCGCTAGGTTATATGTGAAAGGTTACATTTTCAACATTTTTTTTTCTTATTTCATCGTTAACCAACCATAGAATTTTGTCTATGTCAATTTCGGTGCTTCAACTTCATTTAAAAAAATCAAACATTTCTGTGTGTGATAACTCGATTTACTAAAGAACCACCTTAATAAAATGTAATACTTTTTTATTGCTAAAATTGCAGAATGCAAATTAGATATATGTAAAACAATATGTGCTTTACAAATTTTGGCAGAATTTCGCATTATACGCACTCGTCTCCGTTTCGATCTTCCTAATGAATCGCTAAGAAATATTTCTTGAATGATTTCTTGAATGATTCTTATAAACTTTTTTATTATATTGTAGTTCGATATTGATTTTTAAAAATATTTCTGTAGAATTTTTGCTTCTCTTTCGAATTTCATCCGTACTTCATCCGTATGATATAGTCATTTTCATCGGCCAAGCGTGGAATAAAATTTAGGCTGCAAAAAAAGGGATATTATTACATTTAAATACATTGGTTTTATAGTTATAAATCAGGGATTGAATGCTAGCAATTATGTCAGTATCGCAAATGTACCTTTATTTTGTGTGATAATGCCAGTATACAATTGTTAATAAAATTATTTCGGTATTTATCTCTGAATTATAAATCACATACTATGGTATATAAGAAGTATCACATTTTAGTAATAGCAAACAAATATGTGTATGTACATATATGTACATATATATATTATATATATGTACATATATATTATATATATATATGTACATATATATTATATGTAAATTATACGGATGTTGATCTTCATTCAAAACAAAAAGAAACCTAATTACCTCATCATGGTTTTCCTCCTTATTTCCATCATCGTCGTCTCCAGAACTATCTCCTCCTGAACTGTCAGCAGAATTACGTTGCGGGTCTTTGTTATTTAAGCTATCCACAGCAGTCGTTGGTATAGCTTTGATTTTACTAGCGGCATCGTAACATTGTAAACAGACCCTGACAGCTTTCCCATTTCCTTGCCCAGGCAGTAATAATTTTTTATTACTGCATGGACCACAAACTACCGCTCCACATTGTCTACAATGATGCTGAAATGAAGAACGATTGTTTAAGTTTTTTCAGCAATTTCCATTAAAATAATAAAAAAATATATGATTTTATTATTACCCGTCTGTTTAATACTGTGAATTGTGTTTTATTGCAGTGCATACAAATTGTAGCTTCATTATCTGGTACCCAAACCGCTGCATGGACTTCGACAGGCTTTTTGCCACCTAAAAAAGATAAAGAAAAATAAAAAAGATAAAATTAAAAAGAATCAGTTGTATTTGCAAAATTTAGAAATTTATCGTCTTAAAAAAAATATTTGTAACAATTTGACTTTTGCTTACTTTTTCTTAACAAATCTTCAATACATTTTGTGATATGTGCCATCCATTCTTGTTTTTCTGTTGGAGTAGCAGCATAAACAGCAAACGACTTTGTTACTGTTTTAATGAGCCATCCATTACGATATTCTATAAATAATGATCCAATACTATACTACCGTTTTCTAGATATGCATATACGATCTCATTTGATTACTGATCCATACGCTGTGTGACATAATTGAAAAACTAAAGTAAATGCATCATTTCTCTCAAAAACAGAACCCGATAAAATTTATTTAAAAATTTTTATTTATTTTTTGTAAGAGATCTTGCATGTAAAAGTTTTCTGTGATTTTTAACAAAAATTATCAAAAGCATTGGAAAAGATTTTTCTATAGATGCTTTCGAAATATTTCTCAAAATCTTTCTATACCTCTATTCTGTAATCTTTTAAAGATAGTGTTGGTATCGTTATATTGTTGCACAGCTTTTTTTATCATATCTATGCAATATAACAATACCGACACTGTCAAGCGTTACAGGATAGGGAGAAGAAATATAAAAGATATTTTTTTAATATTTCATATACAGCCTTAACCACAAGTATAAAGCATTTTCACAAATTGACAAAAGTGTTCTATACCTAATAAAAAATAAAAAACTAATGAAAAATTTTATTTTTATAACAAGGCCTGTTCTTTTTGACTGAACTTTTGGACCAGTTCATCTTTCTTCCTTTTCTCTCCAGAAGGAAAGAAGAGGAAGAAAGATGAACTGGTGCAAAAGTTCAGCCAAAAAGAACAGGCCTACAGTTTCAATATTTTGCTAATTTTTTGGTTTTTATTACCTTTTTCAAGAAAATACAATAAATTGAAGATGCTTTATATTTATGGCCAAGGCTGTGTAACATAGATGGAGTAAACAAAAATTACAATATGCATACAAGTATTAATTACAAATAATATAATGTACTTACGACCCTCGTCAGCCAGAGACTCTAATTTTACCTCCTCCAGTGGTATAATATGCTGCTTGTTATACTATAAACAAATTATTATCATTATAATCACTATTATTACTGTTATTTTATGTATCAATGGTTGCGTTCAGCAGAAAAAATAGCTTTGCACAACTGTTGTAAAATTCTTTAATATGATATGGTCTTGCCCTTAGTTCCTCGCTGGATCTAAATGTATAAACCAATCATATTCAAGAATTTTGCAACACTTGCAAAGCTGCTTCTTCTGCTGAAAGCAGCCAATGTTGGATATAGAATTCCTTTTGTACATCATAGGCAGTATCCATAAAAGATTAACATTTCTCTGTGTACACACCTTTTTCTTATTAATCACGATATTCCCATAGACCAATATGTCGTTGAACAGGAAGAATTGTCTAGGCTTGGGCTTTTTCCTGCACATTTTTGTCAGGACCCCTTCACCCACCAGGACTCGACCAGGTACTGCGAGCGGCTGTAAGATGGATGTTTCATAAGTGAGTCATCGCTACAGCTAGTTACAAACATTCGAGAAATTTATAAATTTTGCTCGTATATGAATCTCTTACCTGACCCGAACCGCCGAAGCAGTTTTCGACCATCGCGATGCGCCTGGCATTGGCCTCGCTGTTTACTAAAACAAATCAAGCCCCAAGGATGGGGGAGGGGAGATATTAACGAGAATGTCATCCCAGTGTCGCGCTCGCAACACACCCACGTTTCGAACGAAAACGTCCGAGGCACGTCAGGCCCGTTCTTTCTAGCTGCACTTTTTTCACACCCCGTGTAAATTTCATCTCTTCCATCTCTTCATCGAGACGTCACGTTTTAAATATGGAAAGCGTAACGAAAGCAAGAGGGGAGGAGGGAAGCGTGCGGCTAAACAGAGCGGAATTACTCCGGACTGTCCGGAGCTGTCAAAACATGTCAAAAGCACACGGCCCACCAACACGAAGCCGACAGCCCGTGAGACCGTTATCCTCGCGCGCATAAATCGCACAAGGAGACCGAGACGGCTGCGCGCCACCCGCGTCTGTCCGTTCGCGGTCACGGGACGCGTAAGTCTCTACGAGTTATCCGGGGTGCCTAGCAGCCTCGTCTTTTCGCAAGATACGCGATATTAATTAAATGCTAATAAACGGAGCACGAACTAACCCAATCGGTCGACCATGATCCCATGAATCAGGGTTGACAACAGCAAGATGCGTGAATCACATTCAGTACGTAAGCCCGTGCGTGTTGGTGCGTGTCTGACTTCAGCGATAGAGTGCGTATCTGAAGAACCTGCTGATTACACCATTTATCCGCGATTTGGCGCGCTTATCGCCGATTAGCTGGCGCCCACTGGCGTCCAACTGGGTAAATTTAACTAGTATGCGGATAGGTCGCTACGACCTATCGATATATCGCTGGCACTTCGAGTCGAGTGACTGCCGAGAGTATTGGTCTGTTCGACTTGCTTACACTTTTTACACTTAAAATGAGATAGATATATATTTGGCGCTGAAAAGAGAGAAATCGAAGATGCTGAGTGTAAAAAGTATTAGCAAGTCGAACAGAGCTCATTAAACGTCACATGATTACAAACCCTCATCGCGGTGTATCGTCAGATTGTCACGAGTGTTACGACGGGCGATCAGCCGAAGGTGTTAGCGAACGCTGATACCTGGGTCATCTCGTTAACATTCCCGGCTAATCACCAAGGGTTCGTGTAAAGCAGCAACGAAGTCGCTTGGTTAAATTTGATTACTCCGTACGAACGATCTCGTCAAGCAGGATGAAGGTCTGCGGGCCCAAATACGCCTTGTGCGGTTTAGTGTTATCTGTTTGGGGCATATTCCAGTTGGTGAGAGAAAGAGATCATACTTTTATAAATATATTTACGTACTTAGAAATAAAACGTCTCGATATCGGAGTTAATTTCCTAGAGAAATTCGTCGAAAGCAGCTTTTGCAAAGCGTTTGTTACGTTACAAATCTTGTCGTTAAAATGCCAGTCGAAATATAACAGAATCCGCTGACAGAACTTGATGGTAGATCGATTATAGAAACTGAACGGAACGATTTCGATTTTAAATATAATTTTTTTTAGCTGAGCCTTCACCTCTATCTTTTTTCTTTTTTTCTTCAAAGTGCATAGTAAAACAACAAAGACCCTATAAAAAATTCAGCTCAAAAAAAGAACAAGTCTATAGACAGATTTTGGTTTTCATTGGCAATCTTCTATTGGATTATGGCTGCGTTTCGTTATTCACTATGACTGCTGAAAATCTATAGTTCGCATAAGTATTGGAATTTTATAATTAATGTAACATAAATTTTGTAACTGTAGATTTTCAGTATTTGCAGAATAACAAAAAACAACTTATGCAACTCCATTGGCTGCGTTCAGCAGACTGAGTAGTTTTGCAACTGTTTTATAATTCATCACGCTGATTGGATTATAACTTTTAGATTTAAAGGAATAGTTCTGTCTCAGCGAAGAATCATAAAACGGTTGCAAAACTGTTGAGTCAGCTTGCTGAACACAGCCATTAGCTACATTTAGCAGAAAAAGAATCTTTGCAATTATTATAAGATTTTTTAACTTGATTAGTTCTTGCTCTTAGTTCCTTGCTGGATCTAAATGTATAACTAATCATATAAAAAAATCTTACATCAAGTTGCAAAACAGCTTTTTCTATAGAACACAGTTATATTGACAAAACACAAGCTTAATACTGATGCAGTTAATGTCAATCTGCTATAATATTAAGACGGTATTCATAGTTTGTTCTTATTTTAAGATTGTCTTAAGGAATGTTTTAAGATGTTAATACTTTTAATTGGTTCACATCTTGAGACTGAACATAAAACGGTCTTAAATATAAGATCCAACTATGAATCAAATCTACTAAGCTACATGCTAGTATAATAATTAATATATATCATGTTAACATCTTGTTTATTGGATTTTTTTTTGTCTTTAGCTTTTCATGGGAGTATTTTTCTACGTCCGAAGCGTAGCATTGGTGGAGGATCTCCCATTGGGAGAGCTGAAGGAAAATCTTACTTCAACAGGTGAATTCTACAAAGTGGTGGACCGAGGATACACGCAGAATGCATACAACTGCTGGATTGCCGCATGCATATACGTCCTCACTTTCCTTTTCTCTGGTCATCAATTCTATCTCAATTCTAGATCGTCCCTTAGCGTATAAATACACGGATGTTATGCAATGACGCTATTGTGCATCTGATTTGTAATAATGTACATCTAGAAAACATCTTGATTTCAAATTATTTTAAGGCTGCATTATATAGTTATTCTACGATCAAGTTGTTATCCAAACACAATATAATGTAGACAAAATGCCTGTGTTCCAAGTGTTTTTACAAGTGCAGAAGATGTATTTTTTTGCCACATATGTGTATATTTATATTTCCATGTATTAATGTGTATTATATATATATATATCTTGAAGCTGAAAAAAGCAGAATGAGAACGGAAGATTGTGTAATTTTTGCAGAAGTCTTACTATAATGCCAGAATTTGTTTTATTCATCGGTAGTAATATATTTTAGTAAGTTCTGCTATATTGTTACATATATATTGTTAATATGATGAAATAAATTAATCGTAGACTATGATGACTATTCTCTTTCGACTAGGTAAGAGTTGGTTACTCTGCAACATATTTTATAATTTCTTTGGCCACGATCCACACTCACAATTCGCATCCTTCATGAGATTATATTTTTGTTTAATATTTCATAAATGACAAAAATAAAATGACTCGAAAAGAGTGTTGTAAATATGAATGTTACGAACCAATGAATTGGACCGCAGCATTTATGGTTGTTCAAAAATTTATAATTTGCTTGTGCTGCTTATTTTGTGCAAATTAGGCCTGTTCTTTTTGTTGAATTTTTGACATGGTTCATCTCTCTTCTTTTTTCCTCCACAGAGAAAAGAGATGTACAATGCAAGAAGTTCAGCTGAAAAGAATAGGTCTATTACTTCATCCAATTGGCCTCACCAGAGAGAAAGATTTCTCTCTGGCCTCACTTTGCAAGGTAAAGTTTTATGTGAAGTTTCAGCTTTATCTTAGCAAATTTGAAAAGAGGAGCATAGCACTGTGTCTTACAAAACTAAATAAAAATTTATAAGTCGCAAGAAGAATGCAGGTGAAACACAGTCTTTTAATTACATTATTAAATTACCGCCCTTCCACAGCGGCAAAAGGCGTACATATTGAAAAAATGAATCATCAATCACATGACTGCTTGTATCTGTCAACGTAACATCACGTTGCCTACATAGCCTAATAGGGTAGGTATAGACTATAATGCGGCACAACATAACGCTCTAGGGAAATTTGATAGGTTAGGACTGATGTCTTATCTATCTCGAACACCTTTGACTTTGATAAACAGGCAGATTTTCGTTAGCATATCGTCGAAAAGGAAAACATGACGTGACAGCTCGTCGTATCGCGACGTTCTTCATCTCAATGTTCCATTTTCAGTATTTATAAGTGTATAATACATTTGACTCATCAATGACGCCACGACTACATTCTTTAGTTAACAAGTCATTAGAGGTCTGATGTTAGAGACCTTTCCCTTTCATCTGCGAAATCCTCCTGAGAAGAGGAAGGACGTAAGTCGCGCTTAAGGCCAACTGTTTATGTTCGATAACGATCTGTCACGATGGAACCTGGGACGAGTAGCCCGACGGATGATTACGTGGAGATAATACGGAAATTGCCTCTTTATTTGAGATTAGCCTATGGCACAGGTCATGTATTAAATGATATCTGCGCTTCCATGTGGTTCACCTATTTACTGGTCTTCTTTCACCTGGTGCTTGGATTTGATCCGACCTTGGCTGGCGTTGTACTTCTCATCGGCCAAATAGCAGATGCCTTGGTCACTCCATTTGTTGGTTTTCAGTCTGACATAAATGACAACTTTTGGTTGTGCAGATATGGCAGAAGAAAGACCTGGCATTTGTTAGGTAATATTTTTAAACTTGTTATCTAAAATTTTTATGTTGTTTAGTCTTGTTATTATTTTATGTAGCAAATATTAAACTGTTGGTAGTAAGCTAGCAGTTTGCCAGCAAGAGCGAGCAGGATATTAGCATTGACTGCATCTACATTAAATTAGTGTTCTATTAATAGCTTGCTAATAAACTAATAGTTAAGCTTGCTAACAAACTAATAGTAGGAATTGAACAGAATCTGTCGTTTTGTAATCATTTAAATGATATCCATTTCAATGGTTAAAAAACATAATAGATTTTATTTTGTTTCTGCTGGTAATTCATTATCAATTTATGTCTCTATTAGCAAAATACTTTGATATAGATGTAATTGATGCCAATATGTCACAGTAGTCTGTAGTAAATTTGCCATTACATTTTGTTGGCAAATTCCGTTATAGTTTTGCTTATATTTCGACAAGATCTATAGTAAACATTTTGTAAATATTTTACAAAATTTACTTTCAACAGATTTGACTAGATAAGCTTTTGTTTCGAAACACTGTAATAATTATTTATTTTGCAGGCACTATTTGCGTACTATTGGGATTTCCTTTCATATTCTCGCAATGTCTAGGCTGCGAAAGTGCACATCAATATGCACAGCTAGTTTATTATGCTGCTTTTGTAGTAATTTTTCAATTTGGTTGGGCAGCGGTACAAATATCACATTTGGCCTTGGTTCCAGAGCTTACGCCTGCTGAACACGAGAGAACTGAACTTATAGCTATAAGGTAATAGTAGAAAAGTCATTCAGAAAAAATAACGCTTATTTAATGAAGATAATATATACATATGTATAACAAAATTCTATCACAATATTAAATAGGTTCACATTTACTGTCTTCTCCAATGTTCTTGTTTACTGTATTATGTGGGGTGTATTACATGTAACGAGTGATGAGTATGATGCTCAGATCGGACCTAGTGACATTCACAAATTTCAGAAAGTTGTTTTAATTGGAATAGTAACTGGATTAGTAACATCCATTATATTTCACGTTGTTGTTAAAGAAAGTGCTAATGGCACTGCTAATGGTAATAGTTTTTAAAAATATATGTATATACATGTGCATAGATATATAATACGTAAAAGTAAATATTTGATATCTTTTTAGGTAGCTTTATGCATAGGAACGCTAGAACAGCAACAGTATTATTGAGAGATGTCAGAATGTATCAAGTAGCGTGCGTCTATATGCTTACACGCCTATTCATTAATTTATGCCAAATTTATATACCTCTGTACTTACATGAATCATTGAA